ATTTATTTATTTTATTTTTCTTAGCTTTATTTATTTGTATAATGCCGTAAATCTTATTATTTTTATTTCAAATTTTTTTTCAGCTTTTATGGTCTGAACTTTTATGATTTTACTAGTGTTTTTTTTTTTTCAATTTTTTTTGTCATTTTGTGTTTTATAATTAAAATTATTTGGTATAAATTGTAACCATACTTGAAAACAATTTATGGGTAGAAAAAAAAAAATAATAATAATAATAATAGAGTTTAACAATATTTTCGTAGCTCTAATAAATGTTGAAAAGGAGTTAAGTAAAACAAATTTAGATGCATTGAACGCTGTGGGATTATTTAATGACTCATTGATTTTCTGTCCTCTGTAGGTCTGCAGAGCATCTGCATATCGAAGTCGGTGCCAGAGAAGCTGCTGCAGCTGGACATCTCTCACAACTACCTGAGCGCGCTGCCCCAGTGGATCGGTGGCTGCGTGGCCTTGGAGACGCTCAGCGCCACGCACAATCACTTGAGCCACATCAAGGAGCTGCTGAGGAATTACCGCATCAGGTGCCTGCGCTCGCTGAATCTCGCCTACAATGCGCTGCAGCAGCTGGACTATTTGCCGGAGGCCTTCTGCAGCGTGACGCAGCTGCAGCTGCAGAGCAACGAGCTGCAGCGGCTGCCGGACAACTTCTTTGCCGTGACCCATGGCCAGCTGAGCTCGCTGAACGTCGCGTGCAATCGACTGGCGCAGCTGCCGCGCTATGAGCAGAATAACAATGCGGCACTGGAGGAGCTCTGCCTGACGGGCAACCAGCTGAATGACAGCATATTCGAGCCGCTGCTGCACGCGGGCAGGCTGAAGGTGCTGCGACTGGCCCACAATCGCCTGGGCGTGCTGCCAGCGGAGTGCGTGCGCAGCTGGCCGGAGCTGGAGGTGTTGGTGCTGTCGGGCAACATGCTGCAGCAGCTGCCGGATCAGGTGTCCGGCTTGAGTCAGCTCAAGGTGCTGCGCTGCTGCAACAATCTGCTGCTCAGCACGCCGCAGCTGTCGAAGCTGAGCAAGCTGAAGATCCTCGACCTGGCGCACAATCACTTGGATCGCATCAATCTGCTGTCGCTGGTGCCCTCGCGCAATCTCAAATATCTGGACTTGTCGGGCAATCTGCAGCTGCAGGTGGATGAGCAGCAGCTGAAGGTCTGCCAGACGCAGAGTCAACGTGTCTGGAGCCTGGTCGATGTCTCTGGCAACAATCGCGCCGCCTTGCCCACCAGCACACGCCGCCTGCCCGTGGAGTATAGCAAAGCGTCTGCACAGAAGACCAAGTCCCTGCCCTGGTCCTTGGGCTTTGCCGAAACGCCAGGCGATGCACGCAAGCTGCTCGTCACTCAGCTGCGCGCGAGCCAGTTCAATGGCAGCGAGGAGGCGCTCCTTGGCATGTTCGAGTCGCAGACGGATGCGCGACAGGCACAGCAAATGGCGCAACTGGTGCCCGGCCTGCTCAAGCAGGAGCAGTCCCTCAAGGACTCCCCGCTCAACGACTACATGAAGTACACGCTGCTGACGGCGCAACGGCAGTGCGGTGGATGCCTGCGCAATGCCACGCTCCTCCACCTCCTGCGGCAGCCCTCAAAGGTGCGCGCGCTCAAGTCCAAGCGCTATATCTTGCGCCTGGCCCACCTGGGGCACTTTGATGCATACCTGGTGCGACGCACAACCCATCTGCGGCTCACTGAGTCGCAGGCCGACTGCGATAGCCATAAATGCAACCAGGCATCCCACACGCTGCCCGATCCCGAGCTACTCGAGGTGAGTTCTAGTTGGAGATGTAAGCTAGCTGGGTGGGAGCAAAAAGATACCTTAAGTTCATTTTTAGAAGTTGCTAATAGAGGGATTATATAATGATGATGATATGATACATATATACAGTGAGTAAGATTATTATTCGGTTATGTTATTTTTCAAATTTTTTTCCGGTTTTCCTCATCGGAAAGGTTCAATCTAGTATTTACACTTTTTTGTTAGTTGAAGAATTAAAAATTCGAATATTAAGGTTACGAGGTTAAGAGAAATAGCAGTATGCATATGTGAAGGGAAATAAATAGGGAACATAGTTGATTGCTTGATTTCTTACACTCTTCCTCTTCCTTACATGTTCATACTCATATCCATTCGAATTCGCTCTGAGCAATCCTCTTCGGTTCTTTTCGTTTTTCTTTTCCGCTTCTCGAGCATCTTGAGCTCATCTAGGTATTCGTGTGACGCTCTTTTACCGATCATCGTTTCGGGAGAGCTACGAGTCGTATCGTATGAGTCTCAATAACTCAAAAGGCTTGCATTGACTCTTTGAGTTATTTGCTGAGTCTCATTCTGATTCATATTCACATTCAGTTTTACATTTTACATTTGTAAACTCTTCGTATTACACCTATTCAAACTTTTTACACTATGATATACAACTCCTGTTGGGGCGCTCATTAAACTGTCAATCTGATGCAGATCACGCTGAGCAACGACGATGAGTACCTGGTGCTGGGCAATGAGCAGCTGTGGGCCGTGATGGACATTGCGCGTGCGGCACGGGAGATCCGCAAGGAGGAGAATGCTCTGTTGGCGGCCAAGCGACTGCTGGAAATAGCGCAGAGCTTTGGCGCGACGGCGAATCTGAGCGTGATTGTGGTGCGCTTCAGTCACCTGAGCACCGACGTGGATCATCTGATACGTGAGCTGAAGCAGAGCGTGCGCAAGAAGCCGGCGCTGGTGCCGCCGCAGCAGCCGGCCAGCCTGGCCGTGAGCAAGCGCACCTGCTGCGATCGGAGTAATGCGTGCCGGCATCGCACCTTGGAGCAGGAGCTGCTGGCTGGCCGCTCCTCGCCCAGTGGCCAGAGCAATCCGGATTTGCTGAGCAAAGATGCGACGGTGGCTAAGGACGAGTTCATATTGGCGCATGCGCGCGTCCTGCAGGAGGAGCAGCAGCTGGAGATGCTCGACGAAACGGAGTCCGTTCTGTCCGAGGAGCAATTCAAGTGCTGGGAATACATGCTCGAGCAGAACACCCAGCTGCTGTTCGACAAGGAGCTGAACACCATCTCGAAGTCATTCTCCAAGCAGCGACTGCCCACAGCCAAGCTGACAGCGGCCGATGGCAACGATCTGAAGTCGAATCTCATACGCAACGTGGCCAACAAGTTCATCTCGAGCAGCACGCCCCAGCTGACCCAGGCGCACGTGCCACTGAGTGCCTATCAGCCTATCATGAAGCAGCTGCCCACCGAGTACTTTGGCAGCATGCGCTCCTTCCAGCAGTCGCCCAACTATGGCTACAATCTCTTCGACGGCAAGTCACGGGATGCCTACGCGAAGCTGGGCGGCGGGCCGCATGCCGCCTACTTCGGTTCCCTGCAGCGACGTATGCCCTGCAATCTGGAATACGACTTCCCAGTGACGCAGGAGAGGGATCACAATATTCTGGACGAGGAGGAGCTGGACGAGGATGGCTTTACGGAGCACGAGAGTCGCATGCGCAAGTACTGGGGCGTGGCCACCACAGAGCTGTAGGAGAAGGTCTCTTATCTATATTATAGACAATGCGATTCATATGAAAAGAGTAGCGTTAGGAATGCTGCAAGAAAAGTTTTATATATATTTTATAAAATAAAAGACTATACATTATAATTTGTTTGTATTATTATTATTATTATGATTTACAATTTATATTATTCTCTTACTATTAACAAATTCGGCTACAATTCTCATTCAGTAAAATCGAATTCTGAGCTGCTTTTAATATAACTGAAATCTTTTGCTAGCCCTCTATTGGCGAGAAGCGTAAGCTGAAATTTAAATTTAACACTGACTAAGCAGTATAAAAATTGCGGTGTTTCAGTGTTGTCAGTTTAGCCTATTTCACGCTAGACTCAGCCTTTTTCAAAGTGGTCTAGCCTATTGATATTAAATCCGTTGAAAATGAGTATGGGATGGAAAGCCAGAAATTGAGGCGGAATATTTCTGCATAGTCCTTAAGAGAGTTATATAGCAGAAGAAACTGCTGTCTATGCCACCTTCTAATTATTAATATTATAAATGCGCTATAAAGTTTAAGACAAAAACTGCATTAAAAATATATTAATATTAGTGTACATAAGCTATGTGTATATCTCTTCGTATAGACAGATGTTCTCTGTCTGTCTCGCTGTCTATGTCACATTCTGTCTCTCTATTCGACTCTCTGTCTGTCTGCCTATAAAAATCAAGGGACGATGAAGAGGCTGATTTAAGTTGTCTAAATGTAAGCAGCAGTATTACTTTCGTATTTATATTTAGGGAGAACGAAGCTAGAATGCTTACAGCAGAGAGCAGAGAGTGTTCCCATTGGTCAATTAATGTTCGACTGTAACGACCTCTACCTGACGTCGGGAACGACATTTGAGCACGATTTAGTGATTGAGTGAAAGTCGCCCTATATAAAGGGCAGCAGCTGCAGCATTTCTACAGTCACCCAGGTCCGGTGGGGGTCAGTCGTGCAAGTGTTGGAGTGTGTGTAAATATTTAATCATCGCTTAGCGAAGCATTAAAGACTTGGAAGAAATACTTGGAGGAAATACTTGGAAGAGATTATTAGGGAAAATACTTAGAGGAAATTTATTAAAGGCAACACTGGGAAGAAATTATTACAGGATATCCTTAGAAGAAACACTTAGCTGAAATTCCTAGAGGATATACAAAGAGGAAACATGGGAAAGAAATTCTAGGAGGATATACTTAGGCTACTTGTTAGTATTGTTTACATATTTTGTTTAAATTTTGATTTTATTATTATAATGAGCAAAATCTATGGTCACTTCAAATAATTTATTGCTGTTATTATAGTTGCTATTGTTTTCTTTAATTTTCCAGAATTTTGTTTAGTACATTTGAGCCTTCTTTAGCCTACTTTCAGCTCAGCGCAGTCCGTATTCGAACTGCTTGTTGCGCCGCACAGCTTTGTTTTCTTTCTTGCCGATAGAGGTTTAAGGGCAGGTTTTAAACTGCTTCACAGATGTCGCTTTCTGCTGATAGATGGCTACCACTCTTATACACGCTGTTAGAGGTTTCCTGCAGTTTTGGCTGGTTGCCGACAGAGGGCTAGCTTATTGTTCACATATGTATAAAACAGAATGACATAATTAAGTTCATTGCAAAATAAGCTATAGATTTGACTTTAGTGAATGCAAGGCAAGTATTAACAAATACTATTAAACACTGGCTTTAAGCTTTAAGTAATTGAAATTCGCTAAATTATAAATACGATCTTTGATCTGATTGCTCAAGGCGGCATCAAATAAGCCCAAACAAGCAAAAGTGCCCATTAAAATTGAGAACTTAATTTAACAAGCATATAATTCGCACGCCCACTCACACACACACACGCACACACACACACACACACGCACGCACATACAGATGCACAGACATCGAAACGCATACGCACTTAAGTTTATCCCTGTAATAAGGACACTCCTTAGACATATATAGGCAGAGACTTGCGCCCCGTATTTGTAAGGTCACTGAGGCGAATAATTCATGTCAATATCAGAACTCATTTACTTGCGGTTGTTTTTAGCGACGCGTTGCGAAAGAAAATTCATCTAAATGCCAGCGACATCAATGGGGCGACTGCTGGCGAGAGGGAGATGGAGATGGTGATGGAGAGCGGGGCAGAGAGGGGGGCTGTGCAGGGGCGTGCGGGTTGCCAGAGAGATAGATTTGCGTGTGGCTTTCTAATCATTGCGAATCGCTCAAGTGTATTACCGTTATACGCCGCGTTAACAAGACGAGCGCCGGCACTGCGCTGGGCAAATATGAAACTTTTGTTCAAGCACATCCGTTATCCGATTCCCCAGTAGTGAGGTCTATTGCTCAAAAGACAGGCGACTAATTTTAATTACTTTTTCACTCCCATTTACTTACACTTGTTGCCCATCAGTTAAAACCCAACTTCCCGTCGAACTCGCACTCGAACTGAAATGACAACTCCATTTCCATTCACCACTTCCTAACCATTTTCATTTTGGCACATTTTCCACTTGAAAGCTCTCCAAGCCCAAAAACACCCCCGCCCCGCTGCCGCCTGGTCACACTGATGTCTATCACAATGCCCATTACAACTTATTGCTGTGGCTACTTTTAATACACTAAATTAACTTTTTGGGTCTTCGCGCCCATTCCCCCATACCACCACGTCCCATTGCCCATGGCCACACAACAAGCGCCACGATTTGTCACCAATCCGCAGACGACGCGGACTTTATCTGCCGTTTATCTCGCTAGTGTTGATAAATGGCTTTGTGGTAATTAATTTGGCGTGAATGAAGCACAGGAAATAGAATAAAAATTAACTAGAGAGCATAGTGTTAGGCAGGCATATAAAAATATATACATATATATTTAACTAGTCTAACATATATATATGTTTGTATGTATAAGTAAAAGTAAAATATTTAAAGATAGTATAAATAGTCTCGTCTAGCTTATACTTCTAAATAGGGAACGTATTGAAAAAAAATATTAAGATCTATTTTAAACAATAGAAATGGGACGAGCTTAAAAGTAAATGAAGATAAATATTAAAAAAAAAACAATAATAAAAAATAATAATACAGCTGCTATTACTATAGAAATACTTCATTTAAAAATTCAATTTTAAAATAAAAATGAATTAGAATTAACTAATTTAAAATATTTGAAAATGTCGCATATCGAATATCTAAATATTAAACAAAGTTAGATAGGAGACATATTACTTTTATTATTATTATTTTTATATATATTCTCTTGTCTAAGGCTTTCCATAGTAAAGCCAAATCCATTTTCCAAGCAATATTATATTGTAATATTAAACAGTGTAATATTCTCCAAGCTTTCCCATAGTCTAACTAAATCAATTTCGCAAAACATCATAAACAAAGAGTAGACCCAACTCTATATAATACGTATAATTCAATTGCATTCCGAAATCAGTTAAGAAAGCAGCTTCGGCTGTGCAAATACTGAGCCGTTAGGAGCGGATGCTGTTTTACCTGGCAAGTGGTTAGGCAAGCTAACCTATCAACACACACATCCTGCTACCACCGCTCAGACACCTCCGAAACTTTTCTCATTATGTGTATCCACACGCACATGGCATAGAAGTTGCCGGCTGCGAGCTTCCTGCCAGAGTCCCGACAGGCAGCTGGAGCAGCTTCAGCTACACCTCCCCTCTGCCCCGCCTGCACCGCCTACCACGCCTGCCACGCCTCCTCGCTGCCCGCCACAATGCCTGTGCAACGCATCGGCGCTTTCAATGACTTCCGTCATCGCCGACACACTCGACGTGTAAATTTGCATTTGCTTCTAATTACGAGGAGCAGCACGAGCAAAAAACGATAGCGAAAAATGGGAAAAGTCGAAAGAGAAACTACAGATGCTGGCTGCCACGCCCTGCAGCCCGCATTAGCAGCACTTGCTGAAGCAGCAGCAACAGCAGCGGCAGACGCTTGTGGCAATTGCAATTTAGAATTTCAATTATATTTATATTTTTATGAGGGCTGCCTCACCCAACCCCCCCACAGTCAGCCCCCACTCTGAGCACACGGAAACACTACAAATCAAGTGCCACGCACGCAAATTTCCTTTAATTAAAACTAAACTTTTCACAGTTTTGCCTAAGGCTTCTCCCAGTGCAGTGCTCCTTATCAGATCTGCATCTGCATCTGCATCCGCATCTGCATCTGCATTTGCATCTGCATTTGGTAAGCACCGGAAAATTGCTTGGCTTCAACTTACGGAAACTTTGGGTTAGGCGATGTCATCTAACAGTTGTATTTGTTGCCACTCGACTTGACGCCAACTTTTACCAAGAGCCTTTCTTAGACTAAAGTCCAAAAATAATGATGCCAGCTCAAGGTGTCTATGAGCCTCACTATGGGTCTTCATGTGTGTGTGGGTGAGTGTGTGAGAGTGTGTGTCGGTGTGTGTGGTTTGTTGAGCATGAAAACTTTTATTCAATGCAATAGAGTGTACTATTTCTTGAGAGGTCTTCAAGAAATACTGCTCTCTCTGGAGTACTTTAGCCACCTAAGGATCTTATCCTGAACAGTAATTACAGACGTCAACGGGATTTCATTTGGCGTTGCAGCTCGACACAATTTCGTTATATTACTAGGGTAAGCTATAAACCCCTTTCATCTTTGATCCAAAAATCGAACACATATTTCTAATCTAGGCAAGCTATACAAAATATTCGCTTACATCAGGTGTGCCCATTTTCTGTGATTTTCTATTTTATAGTAGGCTGGGCAAATTAAAAATCCTTTGTTTTAATCATTTGAAACCATTTTACGTACTACATTTTATACAACACTTGTGATTTAGGCACTTTGTAAACAAGAAATAAATCAAACTTTTTGGAACTGCTATGAAAACGATCTCATAGACACAATCAACACTCTGATCCAATCCAGTTGCAAGCTAGAATCGAAATAAAGCAGATATTTTGACACAGATATATTTATATACATTTTTTTTGGGAGTTTGGGTACATCCATTGTGCAGCCATTATTCG